AAGAAGGAGAAGAAAGGAAGAAGAACAAAGGAGAAGACAAAGAAGAGAAAAAAGAAGGAGAAAAAGAAGAAGAAGATGAAGATGGAGAAAAAGAAAAAGAAAAAGAAGGAGAAGAAAAGAAGAAGAAGAAGAAGGAGAAGAAGAAGAAGAAGAAAGAGGAGGAGAATAAGGAAAAGGAAAAAAAAAAAAAAAAAAAAAAAAAAACCATCTTCTCCCTCCCACTGACCTTGTGGATGTCTTGGGGATGGAGTCTCAACCTTGGTGAGGCTTCCTCCTCCTTGGCTATGGCTTCCTTCTTCCTCAAGCCTCTCTCCTTCCTTTCTCACTTTCTTCCAAGTTGCCATAAACTCCCACCATCATGGCTATGTAGGTCTCCCCTCTAGAAGGGCTAATGGGACCCCCTCTAGCCTCTTTCTCCTCCTCACACCCTGGGGGCTATGACGGATCACCTCCCCCGTGCCGACCTCACCACCACTAGCCTGTAGAGCTCCTCTCCCTAGCTCCTAGTCTCCTCTAAGCTCCCACACTGGCATGAGTTCCCCTCTCCTCACTCCAAGTAAGTGTGGTGCTCTTGTGAGCATATTTGGGCAGCATGGACACTCCTCATGCAAATGGGAGTGTGGCGGACTGAACTCCCAGCTTATGTAGGCTGAAAACAGTAGTCCGGCCAGCCCATGGGCCTCCCCATGTGCCCCATGGTGAACCGAGGTACCCCCATGGCCAATTTTCACCACTAGGCCTCTCCGGGGGCACCTGGGCCTCATTTTGGCCAGGTACATGCAGTCTGAGTGGTTGGTACCAACTCGGACTGCCCCTTGGGCCTCCTTCCAGCCTCATGCCACTTGAAAAATGCTGCCCCCTTGGGGACAGCCTACTTGAGAGAAAAAGGCCTTCTAGGTTTTTTTCTCGACTTTTTTTTATTTTGGCCTCCCTTGGGTAGGCGGGAGCATGTTTCCATGTGGCGGCACATTTTCAGCCTTGGATCAGGCTGAGATCCAAGACCAGCATTATTCCGAGCTACCCCATGGTGGTCCTTGCTTC